AATTTAGTTGTGTGTGTGTGTGTGTGTGTGTGTGTGTGTGTGTGTGTGTGTCATGTGTATATAAATATTTTATATTATAAAAATAATATTTATATATGTTTGATTAAAAGGGAATTTTCATTTTTTAGGTGAAAAAAGTCGATTTTTGGGAATTTTTTTTTTTATAAAACTATAAAGTCAGTACATTTGAATTGTGGAATATCATTTCACTATTTTAATGTATATTTTAATGCAATTAGTTTTTTTTATTAAATTTAATAAAAAATGACGCCTATATTTTGAATCCTACAAGCGCATACATAAATAAAAAATATCAAATTAAATTAAAAAATCCATTTATTTATTAAATATTTATCAAATATTCAAATTAATTCAATTTGACTGTTCTTCGATAAAATTTTCAATAATATTCTTTAAATGAAAATAAATTCTTTTTTTTGAGTATATGATAATAAATTTTTCTAAAATTTTCTAAAATTGTAAAATCTCTTCTCAAATATGATGCCGCGCGGAGTATCTCCATCACTGATTGACAATCTTCCCTCTAGATCATCTAAGATAAAAAAGTTTAATAGCGTTTGATTTTATATATATGTAGTTATCGTTTGACGAACAGGCAAAAAAATTGAGAAAACGGCGGCTTGTCAAATAAAAATCATCAATTTTGCTTAAAAAATTGACTAAGTTTTTTACAATAAAAATAAAAATATATAACAAATTGTTTTTCATTTTCATCAAGCGATAAAGAGAGATTTGCTTAACATATAGTTAAAACCGAAAGATGAGCGCTCCAAGATATCATGTCAATCAGTTACGAAAAAGCTTGTTTCGAGAAAAACGAGTTTAAAGTTTACAAAGGCATATCAAATACCTACAGTATTTTTCTGCTAATTAGCTATGTCAAGGCCATATAATATTTTTTCTACAGGTAAAACTGGTCCTTAAGAAATTCTCAACCTTTTGTTCTCTGTCTTCTTGGAGCAAAAATTCTATTCATGCCGAACAAGAGATCAAAGCGCGCGCTAAGATATACAGCTGTGCGCCTAGTTGATTTACTGCTTATAACTTCGCCATTTTTATGAATTTTGATTTGAAATTTGCTATACATATTTTTAACATTTCATACTATAATATTCCGTGAAAAAATCGATTTTTTTGACCCAAAAAAATGAAAATCCTCCCCTTAAAATAAGAATATATTAGCAAATATATACATATCATACAATAATAAATAAATAATAAATAAATTTATAATATATCTAAGAAGAACTTTGTTTAAATGTTATTGATATGTATTTATTATTTAATTCTTTTTATATTTAAATTTGTATATAATTTATATAATAATACATAATTAAATATAAACCTTTTGTCTGTGATATTTTGTAATAATTTAAATCTTTTAGTAAAAGTAATATAATCATTTTCAAAAATTATTAGAAACTGATTATACCAAAAGAAATTCTTGGGTATTTCATTTATTTGAATATTTAAGTTTATATTTTTTAATATAATGTATTTGAAGCACGAAAGAAACGAATTTACGAAAATAATAAATAATACAGTATGTTTTCAATAACAAATAATATGACCACATACTATACAAAAGGAAACTAAAAAACAAATTTATAAATAAATTTATATAAAAGAATACTGTTATTTTATGCGTTGCGTTAACGGTAAGAGATTTTTTTGATGTAGTAACTTAAAATATCTGATAAATTTATATTCGCATCGTCGATTATCATTGATACATTCTTAATAAAAAAAAAATTAATTAAAGCATCAGGTTCTATAACACAGCAGAAGAGCGTCTGTACAATGTTGGTGGCGCCGGAGACACCCAATGTCAAGAGTGTCGTAAAATAAATTAACTGTAGATTGCAGGTTGAATGTTTGTTCAGGTTGCAGGTTGTAAATATTCTCTCTTCGTCAGGGCACAGATAAGATCATGGAAAATTTTCGTTCGTCGTTTATAAAAATACGAGACGTTGAAAAAACAAGCCATCTAAGAATATTTCGCTAGTTAGTTTTAGTCAATTAAAATGCTAGCCAGCAGAATCGTTGACAAAAGGGACTCTTATTATGTGAAAGCTTCCGTTTTCCTAATAATTTAATGCAAATGAAACTCATACATAATCTCAAGACTTGTACTGATATAGAAGAAATATTGGAAAATAAATTTATGCGATTGATAAGCAATAACTTACTTCTTGAATTTAAAAAAGTATAAATTATTAGATATGAAATTAATTTGGAGTCTTTACGTTTACCTGTTTCCATCGAAATCATCATTTTTCTTTTGTCTTAAAATCCGACAATTGAACAAAAAGAGCGAATAAAAATTATAAATAATAAAATAATAAAGATTATTTTAATAATTAAACTCATATTATTTATTCTATAAAATTTAATTTGATAAAAAAAAATACCGAATTAATTTAATTTACATATCTGACATGTATTTTATTTATGTCATTTATTTTCTCTCTCTTTAAACTACATATACTCATACGTGTGCACGTGTGCGTGTATGATATGTGAAATTTAAAAAAGAGAGAGAAAATCCAAGATACATATATATTTTATTAGAATTACAAAAATTACATAATTATTCAAACGATTTAATCTATTAGTCGTTAAATCCGTAAAATTATGCATGACTGATTATGCATGTCTCTCTGTAATTCCTGATGTTTTTGTTTTCTCTTTCATTGAACCTATTGTATTCGTTTGTTAAAGTTGCATAAGTTTGTTTTACAAGTAACAAGGCTGTACCAGATTGCACGAAGGTTCAAGATATAATATTTGTAAGACATTATATATAATGTGAGATTTTCTACAACGGTTCACTGATCCATTACTAGGTGATAAAACAAACAGTCTAATTGTTGAGAATTAAAAGAGAAATCGAGATACCTCGAAACTAAATAATTCGATACGTGCACTAAAATAATTCTTAGCTATTTATGATAAGAATTAGAAAGAATATTTATTTAGAATCTGTTTTCAGATTATCCAAAATTAACTCAAAAATTATTTTGATTAAATTACATAGAAAGAATGACAATTTTTTTCAATATTTTCATGTAAGAAAGAAAATAAAATCAATAAATGATTCTTATCAGAATCAGAAATATAAAACTGTTTATGATGACTTTCATGATGACTTTTTTTGGAAATACAGTTTGGAAAAAACTTTTCTATCGAGAATTAAATCGAATGATGATGATTAACTGAGTCATCGTCAATGAGATTTATTCTTAGTTTTATCCGCTCTCTCCTCCCGATTTTACTTTTTCTCATCCAAACAATGAATTATTGCGTGCAACGTATTACGTGAATAAATTAAATGCCAATTGGCAATTTGTCCAAATACCTGAGGGCACAGTCATGGTGCCATCACGTAGGTGGTAAGATGACTGCGATATTCAAACGTTTTATCGATTGTTCAAAAAGAATGTAGTAAGAAATAGAGAAAATCTAGGGGGGGGGGGAGGGAGAGAAGGTTTACAATCTGAACAAGTTGCAAAAAATGCTTTCGTTTTCTTCATAATAGATTTTTCGCGTATCGAAGTATATTTTATCTTCGGAGGAGTACTCGTCTCACGTTAATACCCTGATTTGGCCATGAGTGGATATTTTCAGGAGCGCCGCGAAACGTCGGGGATTTCCGACGTATGCCAAAAGCATCCTCGGCAACGAGAATGACCACACGAAGCGAAAATTGAAAAAGAAGAAAACGAATAAATATTAAATTTGTGTATGTCTGTAGGCATTATATCATGCCTACAGATATACACAATGATTCTTAATGATTTAATATTTTTTTTCTAAAAGGGAAACTTAATGCTGAAAAAAAAACAATTGAAAGATTCACGAAAAAAATATAATCTGAGATTTGTAAATCTATCTGAAATATAATTCTTATTTAAGGATATATTACATCTATTTATTTTTATTTACAATAAAAAAATTATGAAAAAATTATAGATTAGTCTGAATTGCATTTAAAAAAATATCTTAATACAAAAAAATTTTGCAGCAAATCAGAATCCCAGAAACAAAAATTATTTAAATATAAAATGTTTTAATAAATATTAAATATAAAGTGTTTAATAGAAATGTAATTAAGAAAGAATAATAAAAATCTCATTTTTTTACATAAGCATTTTAGGTATTCAAGATGATTTATATAAAGTTTCATACGACAGAAATTAGTTGTTTTATAGAATTTTTCTATAAAAATCTAATTTTTATTAAGAATAAAAACGAAACAAATGATGGTACAAACAAAATTAATTTTTTATTTATAGAACAATTAATCTCTGCATTGCAATGAAGCTTTAAATAATGTAAATAACGTTGAATATTCATTTCCATTAAAGCACATTTCTACTTATTTATTTATAAATAATTTTTGATTCTAAACCGCTACTAAACTCTTTAAACTCTAAATTCTTTGTGTTATTTTTAATATAATTTAGAATATTTGTAAGTTTTTCATAATTTTTTTATTGTAAATATAAAAATTATAAAAATAGATATAATATATACTTATTAGACATTATGTTTTCATTACGTTTCTTTCATAGATTGTTTAATTTTTAATGTTAATTTTAATGTTAATTTTGCATTCTTTTCAACATTCTTCTTCATACAATCTATACAATTTAAAAGAATTGAATTCAACGCACAATAATGTGAATGTGATTGGAAAAGAATTCGTTGTTTTAAGCACTTTGACAAAATTGAACGTTTACGATTACGTAAATCTGCGTTACATCCAACGGAAGGTCTTTCCCAAAATATAATCGCGTCAATAAATTGACGAACTGCTATAAACAAAGAATAGATAAGTACAACAATAGCAACTCGCGTTAATATCCAGATTAGGAGATACTGGCCGTTCCGCGGGGATTTCTATGAGAGTGCGAACACGAGAAAGATGAGGACGAAAGAAGAAAGAGGAAGAGAAGAGAAGGAGAGGAGAACGAAAATGACGACAATGACGAGGAGCGATACGTCGTGGCGCATGAACGGCGTCTCTCGAATCGAACGACGTTGTAATCATCCGGGTTTCCTGGTCCATGTACCACCACTCGCATGCCCAGACGTGAGGCGTGGGCAGCGTCGCTGGCTAGCCCTCGAGGCGTCCCGCGTGCCCATCTTCGGTAGCGTCGCATATCGCACCGCGGACGTTATATCTGGCGTCGCGACGCCCTCGAGCCTCAGCCGCTCCTCAGCCGCCCGTCAATTCACAACTCACCCTCACGGTTAGTAATAGGCCCGCGAGACGTTTCTCTCTGTATTCTGTTGCTCAGTCCCTCGAAAGTTTGCGCGTGGATTACCAGAAGTGTCGGCGAGAGATTCTAGAAAGAAAAAACGAAAACGTGTCAGTGTGTAAATTCGGAAGGATGACTTTAATTCTGCGGTCGACATTAGTTCAATGAGAGAGAGATTGGATTGATTCCGAAGTGAATTAAAGCAATGGCTAAAACAACGTTGTGTTATCATTTGATAAAATAGAAAAACTTTTGCGATATTTTTTATGTTTTATTGAGAAAACAGTGATCAATTACTCAAACATTACATTACATTAGTCAATAAAATTATTTTTTAACACAATAATTAGAATTTCATTATTTAATTATAAAAAATTTGAAAATAACGTTGTTTTTATCAATGCATTAATTATTTTGTAACGAGAAGAGATCTATTAGAGATCTTTTTAAAAATATATAAAATCTAAGACATGTTTAATTATTATTTCAATTATCTGTTTAATTATTACTTCAATAAATAATATCATCGTCCCACTGGAATTATTTCTTTTTCAAAAAAGTTTTGCGAAATTTTTTCAAAAATAAAACATACATAATTTAAATTTAGCTAAATTATTTTTAAATGAAGTCGATTATAATTAGATGTTTGCTTATAATTTCTGTGAATGTCTTTGAACAAATGTAAATGCGATTATGTGACACTGTGAAGACACTGTGAATTAAACTAAAATAGAATTATAGAAAAAAACTACTTTGTGACGTATTCAATTCTATTCCAATTAAACAAATTCTTTTTACAGAGAAACTAAAGCAGCAACAAAATGTGTGACGATGAAGTAGCAGCCCTCGTCGTAGACAATGGCTCCGGTATGTGCAAGGCCGGTTTCGCCGGAGACGACGCTCCTCGTGCCGTCTTTCCCTCGATTGTCGGTCGACCTCGTCATCAGGGAGTGATGGTCGGTATGGGTCAAAAAGACAGCTATGTGGGTGACGAGGCCCAGAGCAAAAGAGGTATCCTGACTCTAAAATATCCGATCGAACATGGTATCATCACGAATTGGGATGACATGGAGAAGATCTGGCATCACACTTTCTACAACGAATTGCGTGTCGCTCCGGAGGAACATCCCGTTCTTCTTACCGAGGCGCCCCTGAATCCTAAAGCTAACCGCGAGAAGATGACGCAGATCATGTTCGAAACATTCAACAGTCCGGCCATGTACGTCGCCATTCAGGCCGTCCTTTCCCTGTACGCTTCCGGTCGTACCACCGGTATCGTCTTGGACTCCGGTGACGGTGTCTCCCACACCGTACCAATTTATGAAGGTTATGCCCTTCCTCATGCTATTCTCCGTCTAGATTTGGCCGGTCGCGATCTTACCGACTATCTCATGAAGATCCTCACCGAAAGAGGTTATAGCTTCACCACTACGGCTGAGCGAGAAATCGTCCGTGATATCAAGGAAAAGCTCTGTTATGTCGCTCTGGACTTTGAACAGGAAATGGCCACCGCTGCGGCTAGCACCTCTCTCGAGAAGAGCTACGAGTTGCCCGATGGTCAAGTCATCACCATCGGTAACGAAAGGTTCCGTACACCCGAGGCTCTCTTCCAGCCTTCCTTCCTGGGTATGGAATCTTGCGGTATCCACGAGACCGTTTACAACTCCATCATGAAGTGCGACGTTGATATCCGTAAAGATCTTTATGCCAACAACGTCCTCTCCGGTGGTACCACCATGTACCCTGGTATTGCCGATCGTATGCAGAAGGAAATCACCGCTCTCGCACCCTCGACCATCAAGATCAAGATCATCGCTCCTCCAGAGAGGAAGTACTCCGTATGGATCGGTGGTTCTATCCTGGCTTCTCTGTCCACCTTTCAGCAGATGTGGATCTCCAAGCAGGAATACGACGAATCCGGTCCCGGCATTGTCCACCGCAAATGCTTCTAAGCGCGTCATTATACGATCATCGCAGCGAAGCAATTTTCAAAAGAACATCCTTATATCTCGGGAAGAATGCGCGAATTATTCGCAATTCTGGCCCGAGCGATCAAGCTGCTACGAGAAAACATCATCAGAGCATTATCATTACTCTCAATCCTCATCGGATCTCACCGAATCATTGTTGATGGTTGATTTGCAGCTTCGCTCGTCGTTGCGCAAACAACGATGGGCTGGCTAATCATTATCATTGCCGCAGCTTTTTATAAAGCTGCGCGCGATGATATTATTTATTTAACATCATCATCACGGCCGAGGTAGCGGTCGGCGAGATTGGCTCTCGTCACAGGTTCTCTCTCGTGGTAGCCTGGACGTTGTCAAGCGTCGGAAAGGATTTTTGTATGGATAGACGTAATCAAATGTATCTTTTGATTCACGAAAGGGACATTCTGGGCAAACATGCAGGACATGCAGAGATCTCGCACAGATCATGTCTGACAACGAGCTTCGAGACTACTTCGAGAAGACTACGCTTTATTCACTGTCGCGCGAGCGTTCTCACCACTATTTGAGAAATCGATCCTCTCTTAATACGTATTACATATTGATTATGTCTAGTCTGCTAACCAAAGCAACTAAGCATCTACCGATGTATTTCTATACTTTAATTTATTTTGTAAATATTATACACTATGTTATATATTGTTATACGATGTCAAAGTCAATTCAAATACACATTATATCATACCACCATTATTATTAAATTAACTCTTACATTACCTTGCCCCATATTTGGTTCATGTCTACAGTATCTTCTTAGTGCGAT